ATATTTTCTCCCAATACTAATTTCGTATTGTTTTACATTTTGAAAATTAACTTCATTCGGGGGCGAGTGACGTTAAATGTGTTGTCCCGGGAGCGTAAGACGTCCGAATACGAAAGTGATTTAAATTCGACCGATCACCGCCGATTTGTTCGAAATGTTGGCAAAAACATTTTTTACTCTGATCGACTAGCCGTACGTAACGTGGGTATAGTCGTACAGATTCAGAAAGTACAGATACTCGATCAAGACATGAAGACACGAAGAGAAAATGATAAAATGATAAAATGAATCTACGATCGGTGCAACATATAGTTACAAACAAATGTCGCCAGGAGTGTCTAAAATAATATTTATATTATCCGTTATCCATGCGGTTTTATGAACACGCCGAAATATTTGGACGGCAGCCGGTCGTCTGTAGTGAAAATACCGGGTTTCCGATAAAACCAACAATAATTATCGCATTGAGTTTGTATTGCAAAGCGAAAACCGCCGACTCGCGGGCGTGACGTTTTTGTATTATTCTGGTTTTTTTTTTTTTTTTTTTTTTTTTTTTTTTTTTTTTTTTTTTTTTCTAGAACGGTTGACGAAATCCGCCCGTTAAGTCGTCGGTATTCAGCGATCTGATAACGCGCTGCAATGACAGTAATGGCGACGGACACGCAAGGGGCCCGTTTGACCGTACGATTTATAGCGTGCCCAGACGAACGGCGATCGATGCCGACACGCGCGTCGAACCGATCGCGATCGATATCGAATCTCTATTTTCATACGCCGAGTGTAACGAAGAAGCCATTATAGTTTCACTTAGGTCTGTCTGTGTGTATTTGTTCTCGGAAAGCATCGGATTGGTCTAGAAAATCTACTTTGGAAGACACGATGATTTGTTTGGCAGACGGTACGTTATTATTTGAACACGAATTTCAAATAATTGTGCAATGCTCGTTTATTTTTTTTTTCGACAATTTGATGGCAAGTAAAACGGTTCTACCGGTTAATTTTTAGACGGCGATATTCTACAATATTCAAAATTCAAAATTTTCAACAAAAAAGTTAGCTTTTTTTAAAGTTAACTTTTCTACCAGAAACATCGCTTTGGCGCATCTTCAGGTGTAGCATCTTTTAATTTTGTCTAGTCGATGCGTCGAAAGAAAAGCCATTTTTTTTTTTTTTTTTGTTTTAATAATTGGGCTAACGTCAAAATTAACGCAATAAATGATTCCGTTATTTTCGATTTGTTTTTTGCTGTAATTCAGTTTAAAATAATCGTAGAGACTTGAAATGGTCCTAGAATATTCATGTAAGTCTCTTTTAAACACATTAAAATTTAATACGAGGTTCACAATAACTTATATTTATTGATCATTATTATTTTCCCAAATTAATATTTCTGTGTTGTCGTCCGACAAGTTATAAGTTTCCGTTCACGGTTAATTTTCCTCTTTAAACTAAAGGGTCCGTCTACGTCAGAACAAACGCATGTTTTTCAAAATAATGCTTCGCTAAAATGTAATTTCAGTAAAAAAAATGTTTATTATTTTAAAAAATTCAGAAACATATGCGGTTTTTTTTTATCCGTAACAAAATTAAGGCTTTGAAAATAATGTCAGTCATATGGTGTGCTAAAGCCACATTGCAGGAATCCAGGGACTCGCGAAACGAGCCTGTCGCTTCGATCAACGTCTGTCCCGGAACTTCTCGCACCAATCGTGAGGTCTCGTCATTCAATGTATGAATGATTCGCGTGGCTTGTGTTGATAAACTTTTTATTTTAAGTGACCCCACAAAAAAAAAATCGAGTAGGCACGTTAAGTACGTTTTTCTATTCTTTTTTTTTTTCACTCTTATTTCGATAAAACATAATATGTATGGCTATACTCGTTATTATTATGTTGTTTTGAATACTTATATATATTTAACCGTCGCGGAATGATAAAAAAAAAAAAAAAAAATAATATTTTTAGAATTTCTACAATAATACCCGACGGCCGGGATGCCGGGGTGGAGGCCTATTTAATAAGACCGCTGTTTTACGTTCCCGTACGGCTTTAGTTCCGATTGCTCGACGGGCCGACGTTTTCTTTTGTACGGTACCGAAACGACGTGGAGTGCGTTATTTTTAGGACGGAATGAAAACTTTTTAGCCGTGTTAATATACGACGGTAGGCACGGTTGCGCGCGTATTATTATATTACGTGTTACGGTCGTGCGACGACGACGCCGCCACTAAAACGATCGTGGCCGAACATTTTTAAACGCGCATTAACGACTCTTGTGTACGTATACGCGATCCGCGGGTAAATAATTACGTGGTAATGTACGGCGCGTTTAACAAATCCTCGTCGACGACATTAAAAATCCGCATCATCTCCGCGGCCCGCCGTACAAGAATAATATATTATCATGGCGGTTAACATGCCCGGTTTGTTGTTTTATATTTTTATTATTTTTTTTTTTTTCGTTTAAATTTGTTTTTTTTTATATGTAAACGTCATTAATTACCGAATTGATACAAGGCCCGCGCGAGTAGGCTTTTAAGAAAGAAAACGAAAAAACGTCGGTGAAAATAATATCGTATTTTTAAACGCGATCGCGTTGATGGTAAAACGCCGTGTAACGTTTTACATCCGACTCCACTAACATTCGGGCACACTTGAGCCGTGGTTTTCGGCCTTTTACGAGTCGCGACATCTAATTTTTTTTTTTTTTTTTTCATCTGCTTTATAAAAATCGTAGAGCAGAACTCGAACGCGATATACGCGGGTCAGTGAAACCTGCACACTATACGAGTGTATAGCATATGATTGTCCTAATTTTTTCGGCGTTTCGTTAATTTGATAATAACAGTTATCGAAGTACTGATCAGCGTATCGACTTCAACGAAAATCACAAAACGACCGGCCCGCCGTACAAACCAGATCGAATACGGTACGAGGGAGTTCATATTGTAAAGCGTTTTGAGCGAATTTTCGTAGAAAAGTTGTTCACAGATAAACGCAAAAAAAAAAAAAAAAAAAAAAA